CACTTCCTGCTCTGCATCCTCCATCTATCCTTCTGGAGCCCATGAATAGCCAAAACAAGAAGGATGAGTGCTGTATCTCTGTGGTTTACACTCTGTCCTAACAGCAAGCAAGCGTTCAAATGTAGTGGCAAATTGGAAGTCATTCAAATGACTAAAATTTAACTACCGCCGAACATGTTGTCACAAGTATGTTTAAAAAGAACTCTGTGTACATCTCAGCACAGTTAGCTTTATGCAGTGGACCAGTCACAGTCAGGCAGAGGTAACTTTGGGATGAGCTGGAGCTGGGAATTTGCGCTAGAACAGAAAAACGGGATAAACGAGATGTGGAGTTTATGAACTGACAAGTCTAAATTTGGGACTGTGAAAAGCAGAAAATGCAACCAGCTTCTCAGACTGAACTGAACTAAGTGCTTACAAAAAGCATGGAAAAAATTTAAGTCAAAGAGTGGACAAAATAAATATTGAAATGTATAATATCTTTAGTGATTGAAGCTTCCATGTACTTTTCTGTTAAATATGTCTTCTGCTCATTTTCCTGACACTGAAAAATGAACTTAGTGGCAGTTATGGCACAATACCATACTTGTACTGAATGTTATTATAATCATTTATAATTGACACTAATATTCAAACACACTATATTGCCAAAAGTATTCGCTCGTCTGCCTTCACATGCATATGAACTCGAGTGACATCCCATTCTTAATCCATAGGGTTTAATATGATGTCAGCCCACCCTTTGCTGCTATAACAGTTTCAACTCTTCTGCGAAGGTTTTCCACAAGGTTTAGGAGTGTGTTTATGGGAATTTTTGACCATTCTTCCAGAAGCGCATTTGTGAGGTCAGACACTGATGTTGGACGAGAAGCCCTGGCTCACAGTCTCCGCTCTAATTCTTTCGAACGGTGTTCTATTGGGTTGAGGTCAGGTTCTTCCACGCCAAACTCGCTCATCCATGTCTTTATGGACCTTGCTGGAACAGGAAGGGGCCGTCCCCAAACTGTTCCAACAAAGTTAGGAGCATGAAATTGTCCAAAATCTCTTGGTATGCTGAAGCATTAAGAGTTCCTTTCACTGGAACTAAGGGGCCGAGCCCAACTCCTGAAAAACAAGCCCACACCATAATACACTTGGCACAATGCAGTTAGACAAATACCGTTCTGGCAACTGCCAAAACCAGACTCGTCCATCGGATTGCCAGATGGGGAAGCGTAATTCGTCACTCCAGAGAACATGTCTCCACTGCTCCAGTAGCGGCATTCTTTATACCACTACATTCGACGCTTTGCACTGTGCTTGGTGATGTAAGGCTTGGATGCAGCTACTTGGCCATGGAAACCCATTCAATGAAGCTGACTGTGGAATATTTCGTAGCGAGGAAATTTCACAACTGGACTTGTTTCACAGGTGGCATCCTATCACGGTACCACTCTGGAATTCACTGAGCTCCTGAGAGTGACCCATTCTTTCACTAATGTCTCTAGAAGCAGTCTGCATGCCTAGGTGCCTGGTTTTATACACCTGTGGCCATGGAAGTGATTGGAACACCTGAATTCAATGATTTGGATGGGTGAGTGAATACTTTTGGCAATATAGTGTATGTATCCAATCTGTGATCTCTTATAAAAGTGGCTCAAATCTGACTCAAAAAGATCAGGTTTTTGTGTTCACATTGCACTGTGAAAATCTAATCCATGTCACGTTTAGGCAAAAAATAGGAACTGTACCACTTCAGAGCTGTAATGTGAATGTAGCCTTTAGATGAAACTCTGGTAAGGAGTGTGTGTGCATAATGCAGGCTGCAGTCCAAGCGTGCACTCAGCACTCTTATCCACACCCACCAGCTTTGAGTGTGCTTGAGACAGAAAGGTTGTTTTTGCGTCCTGTGATCTAAACGGTGGCCGCTTTTGTGTGGCCCCCTGGCACGGCCAAATCAAACTTGCTTCTCTGCCTGTCTCCCTCTCCTCCGCTCGCTTTCTCTTTTTCTTCTTCTCTGTTTGCCTTTCACTCGGCAGCCGGCAGCTGCCGGTAATTAGAGGGGCCGTCAGCGGATCGCTCCGCTCTGAGGCGAAGGGGGTGGGGAGTGGAGGGGTGTTGGAGAGAGAGAGAAAGACAGAGAAAGAGAGAGGGTCTTGACCACCTCCTTCAGCTCAGCGATGGAGCTGGATCATGCTAATGTGCTGCCATGTTCCTAATTATACAGCCTAACCCAGCCTAGTTGCTATCGAGGAGCGGAGAATACAGAAGGAACAGAGAGAGAGAGAGAGGAGAGAGAGACCCATTCATAGCATCTGCAAAACAGTGATCAAAGGATGATTATGCATGAAGAGTTACCTTTTTCTCTCTCTCTCTCTCTCTCTGTCTTTCTTCCTTCTCTTTTTCTGCCATTCTCACTCTGTCTCTTCCCTTCTCTCTCTGAAACTGTCTTTTCCTGTCTTTCTGCCATTCTCTCTCTCATCTCTTTTTTCTTTCTCTGCCATTCTCTCTCTCTCTCTCTCCATGTATATATATATATATATATATATATATATATATATATATATATATATATATATATATATATATATATATATATATACATATATATGGAGGGAGAGGCTCCTGGGCGGCCTGGATGAGTGAGAAATGAGCAAACATGAGCGAGAAGAGGGAAGGGAAGAGAGAGAGAGAGAAAGAGAGAGAGAGAGAGAGAGAGAGCTTAATTTCATCAAGTCAACACTGATTGTGGAAAATGTGCCCACTGTGGCCACAGCTGGGGCCGAGAGAATGATACCATGCAGGGAAAAGAGAGAGGAGGAGGAGAGGGGATGGAAAGAAAAATGAAGAAGTGGGAGAGAGAATAGTCATGTGACTCTACTGCTGGGATGCAGATGAAGATTCAATCACTGTAAAGCTGCTTCGCTCTTGACAGTACAGAATTCTATAACACTGATGATGTGTGTGTATCACTGTGGACTCACATAGTGTGTGTGCCATACAGCCTTACACACAGACACTGTGACAGGTGAGAGAGAGTGTTCACATTGCATGTGTGTGTGTATGTGTGCAGGCGTGAATCCAAACAGATTTACAGATACTGCAGCCCCACTCACACCTGGCACTTACACACAAATGTGGTGATCCGATCACAAGTAGACGGTGCAAAGTCCTAGTGAAACAACTCTCTAACTACACGGTCATACAGAAAATACTCTTTTATTATTGATTAAATCTCCTTTCAACAGGACAAAACTTAAATAAAAACAGTTTATCTAAAGAGTGGTTGGTCATTCAAGGCTGTACATTCCATTGCTTTTTAGCAATGTTTTGCATTTTTGCATTTTAACTTGTGCCAAAAACTGTAACTACAGATGACGATAGCATGCTAGCAGAGATTCTCTGCTTCTGTAGTTTTACTGTGTTCTGTGTATCAAACGGGGTGTCATGTTTAGCGGAGAAGTTCTTCAGCCTCGTTCTCTCTTTTGATACTCAACATTAACAGAGATTATAATTCACTTGTGTAATATCCCTCTGAGAAACCATGCAATAGTTCCACATGGCCGACTCTGCTGCTGCTCAAACTGTTTGGATGTGTCTGTGCTGACTGGCATTAAAACAGAGTTTTAATCACTGTTTCTCATTTTCATTATCATTCAAATGACTGTTCAAGTGTTTAACAAATTACTTTTTTAATCTTGTTGTAATGGCTTTTTCAGCCAACAAGCTCTGCCTTTTCTCTCTTTTGGTCACAAACCAAAACTGCCACTTTTAACCATTTTCGGCCAAAATGTTTTGCACATTTCTTGTGGATGCAGCTGTTTCACAAAAACTACTGCTTAGAAACAAATGTTAATGTCAAAGTATATCTTTGCACTACTTAAGTCAGTGTCGACTACACCGAAAGCTCCACTGACATGTAGTTTTTAAAAATTTGTTTACTTTAATGAACATGCTTTTAAGGGGACGTCCTGAAAAAGCACATAAGCAACACCCTGAACTTTCACTTTCCCCCATCATGAAACCAAATGCTCCTGAAACAATACATTTCACAATCTGATGAGTGCGATGGAGATTAAAACACGCTGAGGCTAATAGCACTTAATGCTCCTGTTCTGGCATGCTCCCTGCTAGCAATGGTGGGGGTCCGGGCTGCCTCGAGAGTCATGCTGAAGAGAGAGCGACTGAATTACCTTGCGCTCGGGCTATTATTTGTCCCCGTCCCGCCATGGGGGCCATGTAAATTACTTTAAGTGCATTTTTTCATGGTGCTGCCACCATTAGGAAAATGCTAGCAGATCTAGCTGACAGCCCTATTAGGATAACGCTGTCTTCTGTGTGTTGTAAGGGAACGGAAAGGCAACCATCACACAAGAATAGGTCTGCCAGCAGAGAAAGGAGATACATACTGTGAATTTAGCTGTTCATAGCGTCTATCTGTCATGTTTTACATCTGAATCTGTCTAACTAATTACCTCATGAATGTTTCCTCTCTGTAATCTGTTTATTTGGCTTAATCTAACTTAAATGAGCTTAATCTCTGGCATTAACTTTTTACGAGGATGGGGCCTCCTTTTGAGTCTTGGTTCTTCTCATGCTCTCACAGAGTTTTTCCTGCCACTGTCACCCTTGGCTTGCTCATGAGGGGTCTGTAAAGTTGCTTTCTGATAATGCTTATTATAAAGAAGAGCTATGCAAATCAATATGGACTGAGGTGAACTGAAGTATTTTAAGTAGAAATACATTGCAATACAACAAGGCATTGAAGACTAAAGCTGATGTATTTAGCTGTAGTTATACACAGGAACCACCAGGTGGTAGTCATGGACCCTGCTCTTTGCTGAGGGTTATTCAGAGGGCTCAGTCCCTTATGGCAGTCCCACAGACCAAACTTACTGTTTCTTTCAACAGCAAAGAAAGCTATGAGTCATAACACAACAAGCAAACAAGCTAACCATCGTAAAACCTGCAGTGAACACAGTCAACAAGCAAAACAATGTTACTGTCATTGAGGCACTTACATGTTGTGCAGCACACACCAGCCGCAGTGCGGGTCTCCAGAGCTCAGACACTCGCGGCACGTCCCGTACTGCTCACACGACTCGATGGGCACCTGGGTCACCTGCAGATTTCAGACAGAATGATCAGATTTGATTTTCAAACAATATAGACATTTGGCATTCATTGAAAAGCCCAACTGAAGCATGAAATGTGGGCTTTCATTGACTTCTCATACAGCTGAAGGAAGGCTTTTCTTTTTTTCCTCTGGTCAGACACAACAGTGGGGTGTTCAAAGTGGGCCATTAATTGGCTCCAGTGGAAAGCAGATAAGGGTCAGATAGGAGGAATATTGATTCCTGTCATCTCCGGAGAACAGGAGCAGCAGGAAACCATCACAACACGCCTTTTATTCATAATAGATAACACCAGAACATACACATCCAGATGTGGGATAGTGATGTGGGAGTTTGGAGTAAAAGTTGAACAATGAAGATATTAATTGGCATGTGTGAATGTTTTTTATATATTTTTCAAAACAAAAATATCTTGACCATGTAGGAAAACCAAAAAAAAATAACAAAAAAAATAGGCAACCTACTAAATCAACACCAAATTAAAGTGCCTTCTTACCACATATATGATGTTTGTGTATGTGTGTGTGTAGGAAGGACCCACGTCCTTCCATTACAACAACACAAACCTGCATGTGTGTGTGCACGCATTTGACTGGGGTGGATGACAGACGGTCAGGAGTGTGTGCAGCAGGACCAACTGGTGCAGCAGACGCGCGTGTGTGTCTTCTGAAGCTTATCTCTGAGACTAACCTCAGTCAGTGCAGCTGTGAGGCTGACACAGGAAAACTTAAGCAGTACAGTGAGCTATTGTATGAGCCACTCTCACGCACACACATGTATAGTACTGCACAAAAGTCAGAGACCACCAGACCACCATTCATTTAATTTCTAAATCAAATCAGCCATTGAGGTTAAAGGAGATATTTCTGAGAATATTAGATATGAGATATCTACCTGCATAAAGAAAACAAAAGCCAAAGGAAAATGCATGAAAAAAAACTGTAATTAAAAGATATAAATCAGAAAATGGGACTTATAACAGCCATGCAAGACCTGGTAAACTACCAAAACTATGTCTGAGAGACAGAAGAAAACCAAGCTCCACTCTTGCTTCAGCTGTGATAAAAATCTACAGGTGTTTCTGTCCATCCTTCCATTTTGGGCCACGACTGATACTAATCATCTGAAATATCCATATGCTATTTAGGTCCACAGTGAAAGTTTTTGTGATTTATAAAAGGCCATGTATTCTTTCCAGCCATTTGCAATATCAGTATTGCAAAAGGCAATATCACAACAATGATCTACATGTTGTCTTTACAAAAGAGCAATGTATCCTGTGAAAAATCTGTATTTGAACAATTATCTTTATTATTAACAAACACCATACAGTTGATATATTTATCTGTTTCTCACCTCACACACACTTTCTACTCATACACACGCATACTCACACTTGAAGAGTCAAGAGAGTTATTTGTTGAGTGCCTCATTTCACTGTTCATTTCAGAAGAAATGAAATTCTTCTCATAGCCAAATAAACATGCTAGAAACTGCATCACCAAACAAACACTTGTCGGTTGTAGTTATACATTTTACACACACACACACACACACACACACACACACAAACACTGTGTAAGTAGCAGACGGAGAGCGGGCTCCAGAGACGCTGCTCGTTTTGTCCGCTGACCCACAATGCCCCTCACCACCCTGCACGCGCATCCTCCTGCCGGCCACCCGGCATACAAGGGCAGCATTGCTGCAATGACCAGACCACTGCCAGACTGCAGCACTGTTTTTTGTTTGTTTGATTGTTTTTACTTATTTATTTCTATTGTGGTATTTGTTTTTTTAGGTATTCTGTGTCTGATTATGACAACTCTGAATTGTATAACTTTTGTTCCTATGAGACAGTAAAGTGCACCTGGAAGCTATCAAACACACACACAGAGACATATAATACCCTGTGCCAGAGGTCATGAGACTCATGGGGCCTTTCATGACATGAAATGTATGTTTTTTTTACTCTCTTCTTGTCTCACCATTTCTTTACATCAGTATCATCTGTTGATTGTTAATAAAACAGATGTCAGCTGTAATGGAACTTGTTACATTATTTTTAGTATTAGTTTTGTGGAAATGTATGTAATTTAAAGTTTGTAGTCAATCACATGTTTGCATCTTTAGTTTTGTACTGGAGCTACAAGTCATTGAAACTTATATCCTGCTAGTTAACTGTGTGTAAACTGCATGCCTACATTATCACACACCCTTGCCATAAACTGCACTGAGTTGTTAAGTAAACTCAAACGCAATACATGGTTTAAGGCAAGTGTTGTAACTCAGGCATGGAGTTTGAACAATGCTTAAGTGTGTGTATAAACTTCTATTGTTTTTTAGCTACATTAGCCTCATCACTCCAGCACTAAACTACAGATACAAACTTCAGAAGCCAAATATATCTCAGCTTATCAGCTTCATTGGTAGTAACGGGAAAGCTGTGTAAACTGGATTTTTCACCAAACTATTATTTAAGCTCAGTATCGTCCTCTATTGTGTCACTATGTAAATATCTATGTTAACATCCGGCAGGCGTTCGGTAACTCCTAATCACGAGAGCAGAAGGGCTTTCTTTTATTTTTCTATGACACTTATTCAAGGGAGAATGAAGTGAGAGGCAGCTTTAAGATGGATAAGCAGACTCAGGGTTTGAGTAATGAGAGGGGTGGAATAATACTTAAGGTCCTACTGTGTGTTTGTGCATGTGTGTGCACGTATGATGTATAGCCATGCTAAATGTCATGACTTTGTTTGCAATGGAGTGGAGCTCCACCTGTCCCCCTCATCCAGACTCCATGAGCTCCCTCAACAAAGGTATGCATTCAGCCATTACTGACCAACAGCTCTGCTGTTGTCTGAACAGTCACTTCTGCTTGATGTATAACATACTCACACATGCACGCTTGTTTTTATTCAGTGTCAGGATGTGGGGTCTTACACATGTCTTGTATGTATTACATTTACACGATCTGTAGGTTAGAATTTTCTATCTAAATCTAATGCTACTGTGGCTTCGAATGTGCCTCCATTTCCTCAGTATTGAAGTCAGTGTAAGTCAGTGTAACTAGCTCTTACTTCGGTAAACTAACTTTTCTTGTCAAATTACATTTTCCAACAAAGCTTTTTAGGATCACCTGCACTGTTGACAATTTCACTGAAGGAATAACTTTCATGCTTTTCATGTGCTTAAACTGTTAACCCATAAGTGAAAGTGAGAGTGTGGGCCACATTCAGCCTCTGTTTACACTCCCATACAGTGTCACTCACACCACATATGAAAGTTGACTGCAGGGGACAGCCCCTTTCTTCCTCCCCTCCCCCTCACTCTATCCTGGGGCACAGAAACAGGTGGTCCCAAGTAATGAGTCCAGCACATCCACACTGCAGTCCAGCCTGCTAACAAACAAACCCGCAGGGGGCCAGGCACACACAGAAAACCAGCCTGACGGCCATAACATATACAGTTCTGTTCCACATTCTGGATTTGGATTCATCTTACATTTCTAACTATTTAAAAAATATACTACCTGTGCACAGGATTTTCACATTAGAATCAATATGCATGTATCTTCAACCACATTTTCATTACTGAAAACAGTCCAAACTCCAAATATTTGAACACTAACTCAGCTCTTCAATGGTAGCATTATGTGGAGGAGCTGATGGGTCTCAGCATCTTACAGACACCAGCCTCGAAGCCTCAGACTGCATTAATGAAAGACAAACCGCCTTGCTGCCAGATGACACTATGTCATTGCCCCAGCTCCCCAGTGTAGTCTTTGGCACAGTGCCTTGCGCGGGAAGTGAATGGTTGCCGCTGATAAGTGAGACTACACTTCCCAGAGTTCTCGTGGGGGCTTAATATTAGTGCAGGTTAACTCTCACTGAGGCAGATGTATGGACATGTTAGCAGCTGATAAAAAAGTAATAGGGTAAGGACAGCTGCAGAGCTAGGTGATAAAGCTTCAGCAGGTGTGTGTAAGTGCTAAGCAGGGTCTTATGGAAACGTGTAATTTGTACACTACAGGTCAGAAATAAATTTCATTTTAAATGTTTCAATTGAGTCAATTTGCCAACACGGTATGTTTTTTTCACATCTAATTTAACTAAAGCAAAATTCCAATAGTGTGCAGTGATGTGCTCTTGCATAGTATATGGGGAAAGTTTTCACAATCTGTGTTAATAAGAGTCCTTTGCATTTATCGGTTTATAATTATTTATAAACTCCTAATTTAACATACCTGCTTCAGTTTATCAAACTTTCAGGAGCATGTGCACTGTTAAAACACAACAAACATCTGGTTCCCTAAATTACCTCTCTAGTAATGTTTCTTAACAAACCTTTTCTGTAAATGAAATGTGTGAGCTCAAAGTTCAAAGAGACTCCAAAACATAAAGGCTCCATAAAGGGATATTAACTGATTAACTGTTGACCAACATATATAAATTATCGTTCGATAATCAATGATGCTGGTTAAAAAATGTAATTAATTTCCAAAAATCCAATGCTGGACCCTCAAGACAGACACCTTTGCTCTCATACACCCTTGCAGCTATGAAACTATGCAAAATACTCAATCTGTTGGACACTATTGCTTTCAAAGCCCTTTGTACCATAAAAATAAACATATTAGTGTACTGTAATTCTTTCCACGTTTACTTTTACACAGTTAGCACGGCTTCCAAACGTTTGGCCTGTAGTCTATGCGTGCATGTATGTGTTGTATCATGTGTCACAAGTGAAGGAAAGGAAAAAAAAAACAAATGGCACAAAAAGGAAAGATGAGGGGGTTAGTAGAAAGGAGTTTGGGTTAGTCTGGAGCAGCTGTTGGCCAGCACACACTGCAGTCACTCAACACAGCGGGCTGACACAATGAAGCCTGTTCTCCCACCGTGAGCCGCCTGGGCGTGTGCATGCTATGCATGTGCCCATGAACGTATGTGCCTACATGTGTGTGCAAACACATTTACACCGGCCAAAGTG